TGTGAATCGTGATTTGAATTGAATCGTGACTTCTTTGGCAATACCCACCCCTAATCAAGAGTCCATCAGAATGTTCTTAAATGACATTTGAACTGAACTAAATCAATCAAACATCTGAAATTTATTTAAAACAGAAAACATTTGCTTCAGATTTCCTCAGGGATCCAGAACTGGGTCAGAACCAGAGCGGTCCGGATGGACCTGTGCTCTGGGAGGCTGACGGACCTCCAGGTCCTGCAGAAGGAAACCAGTGAAACGCGACGTGGACAGAAAGCATCAGATCCGTCTACCTTCCCCTCCAGGAGCTGCTGCGGACGAACAAACTGCTGCGTGAAGCTGGGCTCTGCAGGACGCTGCACCATCACCGTCTGTCTCCGAGCGGCGCCACCTGGAGGACGGGAGCACAACTCCTGAACTCAGCACTCAGTCAGCGCAGGGCTGCCTGACAGGATGGGAGGTTCTGAGGTGAGGGAAGAACCGTACCTGCAGGACTGTCGGCCTGTTGGATCTGGTCTGCAGACTGCCCTGCTTCAGCAGCAGGGGGCGCCAGCTGCAAAGGAATAAAGGACAGAGTTCAGCTGAAGATCACAGGAACTGAAGTTCTTTTCAAATATCTAACTTATTCCCTCGGTTCCATCAGTCAGATGATCTTTATGCTGCAGCTCTGGGCTTGCCTCTAACGAGCTGCTGCAGCTAACAGGCCGGTTTAAACATCAAACGGATTCTGGATCCAAACCTGATCCGTCCGACCCAAACTGGTCCAACAGAACCTGCCTGTCTTTACTGTTTCTATCATTAGACCTGGACCTGCTCCGGTCCGGTGGCCTCAGAGAGGACAGATGGTCGGTTCTACCTTGTTGTCATGGTGACCGGTGTTCTGCTGGTGTCCGTTGGGGGCGCCGCTGCTCTCGGTGCTCTGTCCGCTGCCGGCGCTGCGGGTGCTGCCCACGCTGCCGGTGCTGCCCACGCTGTTCCTGTCTCCCGCTGGAAGCACAAAACAAACAGTCAGCGCCTGCAGAGGGCGGGGTTGGCGGACCGGGCCGGCGTCAGCTGGGGAGGGGTCTCAGTCTAAAGAAGCCTGCGATGCTGTTGACCAGGAGATGCAGGGAGCGCGGCTGCAGGGATGCAAGCAGCCAGAACCTTCTAAAGAGGAGGCGGTTCTTCAGGCTCTCTGAAGGTCTCAGCTCCTCCTTCATCCTCTAGAACCGCTCCACTTCCTTCCTGACCTTTTAGATCAACATGCAGCAGCTACTTCTCAGGACGACCTGCTGTCGCCCCCCTGTGGCAGCAGTGAGGGATTGCTGTTAGCATGGGGCTCCATTTTAGCGTGCAGCAGCGCGTTTTGGACCCGACACACCGAGACGACCAGCGTTTGCCCTCACCAGGAGCTTCTGGGCCGATAGCTGAACCCTAACTGAAACGGTCCCAGAACCGGACCTAGCGGAACACCTTGATCGAAGTTACCGGGTCTGATCGGTTAACCACCACAGACGCCAAGAAAAACTGGTCTGGATCTGAAGCAGTGACTCCAAATACAATCAGGTTTTAAGTTTTCAACTAAAAGCTTTAAACTTTGATTTTTCTTTGAAGTCACAAACCCGGAGATTCTAGGAGGAAATCATCTGGAGAAGGTGGAGAGAAACTTTACGTTTAAAGGTCAATGCTACGTGGTTAGCTCCTAAGAGCCAGAAAGTGGCGCACACCAGATCCATAGCTCTCATTCTGTACTGTTTGCTGGTCAGCTGCCAGGTCGGCTAATGCTAACTAAACCAAACAGGTTTAATCCAGCAGCCCAACAAAGCCTGGTTTTAGTTTAGAAAACATGCAAATGGAAACGGATGAACGGGTCCCCCCCCCGATGCTAACCGCTAACAGCCTCTTTTAGCATAGCTCTGTGGAGTAAAACATGTTGACGTACGTCTGTTCTTAGCCTCACGGCTCCAAACGAAGGTCAAGAGAGATAAGAATGAGTCACAGCCTCCTTCATGGCATGAAGAGGAGAACATCCATCTGACCAGTGGGAGATAGATTAACCTCACAGGGAACGGCTTTGATGAACTCTGTCTGTGAGAAAGTTCTTTAAGCAGGAGGTGGGTTGGTTCCCCTGGGGGGGGGAGTGTGTGTTTTGGGATAATTGTAAGGTATAAATGTACTGAGGTTTCCTCAGTCAGAGCTCTATCTCTCCATCTGAGGACATTAAATAAATGTGAACCTTTTTTCTTGCAAGAAATGCCGCAGCTTCCTAACTCACAGCTCTCTATCTGGGTTAGCATGTCCTAGCAGTAGAGTCACTACCCGATCCGTCCCGCTAGCACGATCCGTCCCGCTAGCACGATCCGTCCCGCTAGCACAATCCGTCCCAGTAGCACGATCCGTCCTGCTAGCACGATCCGTCCCAGAAGCACCATCTGTCCCGCTAGTACGATCCGTCCCGCTAGCACGATCCGTCCCAGTAGCACCATCTGTCCCGCTAGCACGATCCGTCCCGCTAGCACGCCCCCGCTAGCACGATCCGTCCTGCTAGCACGATCCATACCGCTAGCACGATCCATACCGCTAGCACGATCCGTCCCAGAAGCACCATCCGTCCCGCTAGCACGATCCGTCCCGCTAGCACGCCCCACTAGCACGATCCGTCCTGCTAGCACGATCCATACCGCTAGCACAATCCATACCGCTAGCACAATCCATACCGCTAGCACGATCCGTCCAGCACATGCAGGAACAGAATATTAAGATTGAGTCGCCAAAAACTAGGTAATAACGGAACTGAAAATACTTATTTATATACTTAAAACATTTAGGAATGCTAAACTATATCATATAGAAATTATTGAAGATTTGTCTTTCCATTCACTCCGCCGTATTGCGTGACGTCATGGTCTTTAGAATATGTGATATTTATGCAACTACAAAACTACTGAAAAGGAACCCCCCCACCCACCCCACAGGTAAGAAAAAGGAAGTACTGCCTGATCGGACGTTATTCTGCAGGACGGATCGCGCTTCCGGAATGGATCGGTCAGCAGCAAGCAAGCGACAAACTTCACTTCTTCCTGTATTTGGTTCTCCTCATCTTTATCACCTCTTCTGATCATTTACCCAGAATGCATTGCTGCATAGACAACATGACAATATTTTTAAGCCATGTATTAAAACTAAACATCTCACAGTAGTTTAATGTATTTTTTTACCGTGAAAATAAATCTTTTTGCAATAAAGCGGCTTGTTGGAACTAAAGTTGATCCTTAAAGGTTGAAAGTTCAGATTGGAGCCAATCTAAGGAGGGACAGCCGGGTCTCTGGTGGTCTGGGTGCGACGGGTCTGAAGCTCAGCAGCTTTAGGGCAGACGCTCTAGATGCGGACTAAGCCTTACCGTGGTACGAGTCCCTGAGGACCCAGATGTCCTCAAAGGGACACCCAGGCTGAGACAGGAGGCTGGAAGACAAACCTATCAGAGACAAAGATGGACCAGGTTCTGTTTGGGACTGAGAGGAACCACACAGGGAACAGACTCTTCTGATCGGGACGTTTCAGTGGGAATCAAAGAGGAAGAATCTAAGAAACCAAAGACTTAAAACATCTCAGAAAATCCAAACTGATCGGATCAGAACCGGTCCGGATAAGGAGAACTCTCACTGTTGGCGTTCCCGTCACTCGGAGACCGTGGATCGCCTACGGTGATGTCAGAGGTCTCAGGGCGCCCGCTAAAGGTCCGCCTTAAAAGAACGATTCCAGAACCGAGCCCAGGTTGAGCTCTAGCCTAACCGCACCGTCTGGTTCTGGTTGTGCACCTGTGTGTGTCTGCAGTGTGTGCCGTACCTGTGCAGGTAGCCAGGCCGTTGGACAGCGGTAGCACCACGTGGCTGGGCGGGGCATACAGACTGTAGGAGTCGTCGGTGTGGGGGGCGGAGCTTAGGCTGGAGGAGAGGGGGGCTTTAGGTAGGAGCTGCTGGCGCTGGGTGGGCAGAGAGGCGTGCCGGGAGAGGGTGCCCCCTAGAGGGCGAGAGGAGGAGGAGGAGGAGGAGGAAGGGCAGGTTATCAAGCTGGTGGTTAGAGTGAGAGGTCAGAGGTCAATATCTGGATGGAGTGATGGAGGCAGCAGGAGGAGGGAGGAGCATGGGATGGTACCGAAGCAGCTGGATTAGTTCCTGAGAGAGATGGACTGAGCAGAGAGACACAGGGAGACGTCCAGAACCACTGAGCCCAGTTGGTCCAAAACCAACAAACCTTTTTCCAACCAGTAGAGCAGAGAGAAGACCTTCTGAGGTTTTATCATCACAACATTTAACAGTTCCATCGAGGCGTTAGTTCCCAGAACCTAAACCAAACTGGGCTCTAAAATAAACACTAACTGAACACAAAACTCCAGCTGGACACGGCAGGGACAGAAGACCTGGATTAATAATCCGGTTTAATACCGAAAAATAACAACCAAACAGAACAGAAAAATGGGACAAATGAGACTAAACCTGAATCCAGATTAATCCAGGATAAAACTCAGACTAAACCTGAATCCAGATTAATCCAGGATAAAACTCAGACTAAACCTGAATCCAGAT